TTCTTTCATTTTTTGTTAATAATATCCTTAATGTTTTAATTTTTTTCAGGTCTTATGAATATTTCAATTTTTATTTGTTTGGTTGTTGTTGTATGTTATTTCTTTGTAATTTCAGTTTTTTGTTTAATAAAATTGTTATTGTCGGTTAATCTTTTTGATTTTTTTCAGGGTTATCAAATCAATTTATATTATATTAGACAATGGAAGTCCGAACTGATGAAATAGATGAGATTTTATTTTGAAATATTTATTTTCCTATGCGTATGTGTCTCCAGACACGTTTAGATTTGTTGAGTGAGTAAATTTTTTATCGAATGACACCTCTTACGTAAATTTCGTCATGTTCAAAAGCTGAGAGAGGGGGACTTTTTACGTCCGCACTGTATATTTCGAATATGGTAGTTTACATATAACAGAACAGTTTAAGTTGGTCAATTGTCAAGTATGTAAATAAAAAATATTTTTATGATGCTCATATTGGCTAACCATCAAAGACCAGTAGAACGACATTGATACCATGTAATACCACCATATGTCACTAGTTACTGATTGATGAGGAAAGTCGGTCCTGGAAAAAAAAATAGAAGCAAACAATTAACAACAGTAGGCTTGAATATCCAATCAGTAACACATAAAACGATATAGCTAGCAATATTGTATCCTCGGACATATGCACACAATTCATTATCCTTCGCAGTGGAAGAAAAATACCCTACTGTTATAGCTGATTTGTAAATGTATTATGAAAAACTCAAGACCATGTCATAAGAAGGTTACTACTGTTATCAATATAGTCAATGAGAGAATAAATATTTAGAAACGAAATCTCGAGACATCTCTCCCAACATACTTTTGTAAATTATCCCCTGAAAAAAAATAACGGCGGCCGCCGCTGGCCTTCGTCAATTGATTGTGACTTGGTCAAGGTCGCGCTCAACTCGACTTGCGCTTCGCCATTCCTTATAGATGTCGTATCGCTTCAAGAAACTTCCCTATCGGCTTCTAGAGACTTCCATTACGATATATAAACACTACCGACAAGCAGATCGGGGGAAGTCTAGTTTAAAGTGCGGTACGAAGTGATCTAATGAGTATTAGTCTGAAATTCTGAAATTTGTGTTGTGTAGTAATGAAATCAAGTTGAGTTCAATTGTACAGGGCAGTCAATTATCGTCAAACCCACAAGACATAAGATCTGCCAATATAAATAACATCCAATTCAGGAAATTAGTCAAACAATTTCTATCTGATACTGGCCATCGGATGCCTGCTTCCACGTAGCCCCGCTGGATACGGGAATGACAGAATCGCTTGTGGTTCTGTTATTCCCCAACTGCACGGCATCCCTACGATGGCTTAATTCTAATGTGTTTGTATCCGTGCCAAGAGTATGAATGACACTGAGACTATCAGCTGTCTACGGAATCTTCAAGATACCGAGCTCCCTCTCGTCGTAGCATCGCCTTGTCACGGTAATGCGGAGCTCTGCCGTGATTGACCGTCTTTCCCTAGCTACTTGTGGGACTTTTATGGACAGAGTAAACTCAAAAATTATTTCTGACGCTGGGTCTACAGAGGAGATAGATGTCGAGTTTACGACTTCAACTGACTCACGACTCCAACTGACCTCCCTGTAAATTTATATCAGGAGCGAGAGCTTCTCAACTCTCCAACTCCTGATCCAATAACTGAACCTAAAAAATAGATCGTCTCCTCAAGAGCGGGGTACCTTATGAAACCGCGTTGCACCAAATTCTTGAGCGTTGTACGCAGAATCTGTCCCAGGTGGAGGAACAAACCCCCCATGAGCAGGTTAGCAAACGTTTGCTAACCTAACATATGGAAAGGTTTTCGCGGGTAACAAGGTGGGAATCTTGCACCTTGACTATCCGACTAGCTCAATAACGATGAAACAGCAGAGCATATACTTTGTGCATGCCCCGCTGGGGACCGAATCAGGTTTTTAGAGTTCGGCAGAGCCGTACTCTCACCATCTGACCTGAAAGACCACTCACCATACAAACTAATAGGCTTCTTCAAGAAGCTGGGCTTATTTGGTCGAGTGTGAGCCACAATAAACCATTGCGCATTGCGGTGGACGGTCCTAACCTAACCTAACCCATGCACCATTTTTATTTTAATTTCATTTGGTATGTATTGCATTTTTTTAAGTATTTACTACCCAAGCTTTGTCTACAAGATTATGTCTTATGATAATACCCGGGAGTAAGTGCAAACATATCAACACCAAGCCGAATATATAAACTAACTATATAAACTAACATATCAACACCAAGCCGAATATATAAACTAATCTGTCGTCCACTTATTGAATACTCACAACCACTGAGAAACATCTCATTATCAAACAAAGGGCGTTGAAAACAATTAGAGTATTTGAAACAACGGCTATAAGGAAAATAACAAGATTAAGGCATCCCAATAACCCCAAACAGAACCCTCCAAACCCCTGCTGTAACAACTCACTGGTATTATCCCTATTGAGGAAAGACTACCATCACTTACTCAGAAGTTTGCTAGAAAAGAGGACAATGTAGAATGTATGCTGTGACGAGAAACCCCCATGCAAGAGTACGACATCGACACCCAACAGATACACTGTTAGAAAAATTAACCCAACTTTATCAATGAAACTGTTTTGTTTGTTCATTTTTATATCCATATATTTTTTTTATATTGTAAAATAAGCTACGTTATTTCAAAGCAATTTTATTACATGGGCCTATGGATTTTTGTTGATAGCTGAGTTTCATTAATCAAATTGACGTCAACAATGGTTACAAGGTGTATATTATAGACTTCATTATTTCAGGAGTATATAAGTTGACTGGAGGGTCTTGCCCAAAACTTTATATTGGCCAAACGGGGAGAAATTTTTCCCAAAGAATCAAAGAGCATAGTAGTTTCTTGAATGAAAATACCAATTCCACATTTGCAAACCGTGTTTTTGCAGGACATGACTTCAATCGTGACGGCCGTGTTACATTCAGAAGAGAGAACGTTTACATAAGCTCAGGTTTTTTCAGTCATTACCTACATGTTTATTTAAATGAGGTTGTAAACTTTCTCTTCTCTTCTTACGTTAATGTTTATTGATTTATTCTCAAACTCGGGTACATATTTAACATTAATTGGGGAGTTAAAACTCAGGTATTTCAAATGGTAAAAACTGTAAAGCATTGAATATGTAAATTTCAATTGAAAAAAGACACGCCTGATGGAGCTATTGTATAGCGAAACACGTGTTGTAAAATGGTGTAGTGAAAATCTCACAAAGTGTTTCTTGATCTAATATCAGATAGATCTGTTTTAATTTTTACAATTCTGAGAAGTAGCATATGTAGTCTAGAAGAGAATTGTAAGCGGACTTTCCCAAATCAGCAATTGGAATTAGGGTTTTGTCACAATTCAAAAGATTTCACTTCTTACAAAGAATAATATGAGGCTTTTTGAAACTTCTCACTTTATATTTCACGATACTAAGTTCGAGTTATTTTCAGTGAAGATTGATTTGGACCCAACATGCTGAACATTTTAAGTTGCGGATGGATTTTCAGTTATTTGCTTAATGTTATGGAAAAAAACCTTTCTCAAAATCTACTGACGTTTTTCCAAATAGCTTTGAAGGCCCTTCTTATATTGATCCATTTTAATAACCTACTCCTGCTCTGAAACATTCCTCAAAATAAATGAATGATGAGAAAAGGTAAATAATAATCAAGACAGTAATTTATTGATGATCATTCCTTATTTTATTTGTTTCTTTTATTCATTTCCATCACCTTTAATACCCATTACATGTATAAAAAACAGTAAAATATGTTTCACACCAGTTCCCATTATTCAAAGCTAGATAATTCATACATTGCCCGTTATCCCTTCACCCTAGATGTATTAACCTTTCATGGAAATCCTGGATTCATATTTTGATTCCACTCATCAGTCAATCTTATTAATTTAGTATAATACATTTACATAAAAAACATCTTTGTGTTAATGTTATTTTATCTAAAAGTGAAATAACAATAATACCATTGACCTAAACTAATTTTTGTTGTTTTGGACGCCAAAACTTTTCTTTCCCAAAAATTAATCACTCTTAAAAGTATACCCCATTCAATTTGAACAAGATTCCTATGGCTGGGATTGAATCAAATAAGCGAATGAATGTCATTACGTACTGTCGTCAATATCATGAGTAGATTTAACTCATCCGTCACATTTATGAAGTAATTTTATGAATTAATTGAGTGCTTCATCTTGTAATGCCGTCCAGATTAGTGCTAAAAATGCAATAAGGTAAGTGCATTTTTTCCATACATTGGATATCCACCATTGAGGATGACAGTGTTCTATGAAAATAAAATTTTACCTCTTTCATATACCATATTCTGTACTTGTGATGCACTGTTTGGAACCTTTGGTGTTGTAATACCATATTTTGTATCAATCCTGTGAATGTTATCTGATTCAATTCCACAACGAATGTTTGGAGTAGAAACTGAACAGGAAAAAGTGTTTTTTGTATAATTCAATGTCATACAGAAGTAGCTGTTTCAAAAGGGGTTTTTCTTCGAGTTTGTTTATGAAAGTTACTTCTTTACATGATCTACACATGTTTGTAGAGTTTATTTTGAAATTAATTGCTTTCTTCCTTTCCTTAGAAGATTTCAAAGTTTTTTTATGAAGATGGAGAAGTAGAAAGCCAAAACGTTTCTTTGCTAGTTATTATTATTTTTCAAGACAGGCAATTTCACTAATCATCTGTCGCCCTGTCAAATTCTAGGTTTGTAGTCAAGTCTTGAAAAAATTACGCATATGATCAAAATTCAATTATTATACTCCCAAATATATTGATTTTTCAAATTGTGGTAAAAATATTCAACGACTTTGAATCATTTAAATCACAAATAAAATTCACAGACCACAGAACAAAAAGAATTCAGGAAGAAGAAGAAAATTGAATTATTCAATATGAAAAGGTTTCACAGTGTTGCCAAATTCATATCAAATGTTAGTGACGTCACCACCATGGTTTTTATTTGATTTTGAAAAACTACCGACAAAATAAATTGTAAAGAATATAAAACGAGGTACTATTACATATGTAAGTTGGTGTAAAAGTTCGTTTACAAGTAAATACAAGTCATTATGTCTAACCTCAAAAAATGGTCATTTAGTCAAAGTAGCGAAAACTTCCACAACTTTCCATCGTGAACGACTTGTTTCAGTAATATTTCAAATCATCACGAAAAAAAGGAGACATTTTGGTTATGCTTCACCGTCAAGGCTAACTGTTTTTCAGAAACCTGAAAATATTTTTAAAATCAATTTCTCAGCAAGCAAAGCCCAATCCCAAATCTTCCATCAATCCAAAATTTGTTCTTCAAAAAAAGACTATATGACTGTAAATTGATCAGTTCCGAGTTAACCTCATTAATCGTATTCCATACTCAACTGAACCCATTTCCGGTATTAAGTGGAATTCAATAAGAAAATGTACGAAACAACCGGTCTGATATTTTCCAAGAGTTCCTTGAAAGGACCAATCTTAGATCTAATCACTGAGATTTTCAATCTTCACTATATTCACTACTGGAGCGAATATCACTCTCTGCATGGCCAACTATAACAACAGCGTGTACTGCTTTCAAAATCAGGTAAGTCCAAAAACAGTGGAGCACCATTAAAAGCATTAGGAGCATTTGTAAGTAATGAAAACACGGGAACATTGGAATAATTTGAGGTGCATCTACCCATGTGCTGGAAAAAAACAATCGATCAGTATTGAAAGGGACGCGAAATTAGATCACTAGATATGCAAATCTGGAATATCATTGAAGAAATTAATACAAGTTGTGTTACGACTCTGTATTTGTGATTCAAAGGAAAGCAGTGAAAATCGACTAAATCACAGTATAGAGGGTGTTCTTTAATGATGTGCTAATGTTTCAAAGTGTAAATCTATATAAAAATATAATGATAGATAAACAATGGTCAAAAGTTTTGAAAAAAATTGAAATTATTTAATATTTTCAAAACCGTTTGGGACATTTCGAGTAAAATGAAATTTTGAACCCTTCTTTGCATTTGAGATACAGAAGCCCTCCAACTTTTTTCCCCACGATACGTAGTTTTTGAAAAAAAAACCTTGTATTGTCCGACAAATTATTGAAAAATTCAATTATATTGAATTCCATCTTACTTAATTTTTTGAATTAGTAGGGCCATGACACAGCTTTTGATACAAAAAGAATTCTACAATTCAACAGTGGCTTGCGTTCGGCCATTAACTTTGATATTTTCCACCGTCACATTTAATGTTTTTTCCAAACAAAACATTTTTTTAAATACCCCCTTCAATTTGAACAAGAGAGCTCTCTTGAGTTTATTCTGTAACATGCCGTTTTTGATAAGATTTTGATAAATATTTCAAGTCCCTCATATTGGCCAAAAATTATTAAAGAACTCAATCTTACTTCAACTTTTGATTCACCTCATGTTCACACTTTATTTCGTTGATACAGATATTCACTTGGTTGGTGAAATTTCATTAGTTCGGACTTTTTTTATTTTTATTTTTTTTATTTATTGATTATCCGTTTGACATATAAGTATGTATAGGATTTGTTCAGCAATGAAGAACACATGAAAACGCAGTCTCGCTATTAATATAAAAACACTCAAAAATTAACACATAACATAAAATACAATACAAAAGAAAACTATTTTACGATATGAAAAATTCGTCTAGGTTATAAAAACAACTATCAATTAAATACTTTTTCAGATTTCGGTTAAATTCATTAATTTTATTGAGCTCCTTAATATCTTTTGGTAACTTATTAAAGATATTTGGGCCCATCACATAAGGTGAATTAGAAGTAACCTTATATTTACAATACTGTATGTGAAAGTTATATTTTTGACGAGTATTCCTACTATGTATAATTTCATTGGTGATAAATTTATGTTTGTTTTTAAAGACAAAAATTGAAAATTCGAGTATATACATGCTGACAAGAGTTAAAAAGTTAAATTGTCTAAATAAATTTCTGCAAGAGGCCCTTTTAGAGACTTTGGCCATTATTCCCAAAATAAACTTCTGCGCAACGAAAACATTTGATATCGAAGTCGAGTTACCCCACATACATATGCCATGTCTCAGTCTGGAAGCTACTTGAGCATGGTATAGTGCCAAAAGTTGCTGATCTGTCAAGATATCTGTTAGGTTTCTAAAGAGATAACCTAATGAATTAATTTTACTCGTTAAATTCGAACAGTGTTGTTTCCATGTCAAACATACATCAATGGTAGTTCCCAAAAAATTTGTCTCTTCTTTTCCCAGAATTGACATATGTTCTTAATTTGAAATTGAAAAGGCACGCAATGTTTTTGTCGATTATGAAATCTAACCAATTGTGTTTTGTTAGCATTGAGATAGAGAGAATTAGCTCCGCACCAGTTCATAACAGATTGCAAAGCATATTTACATTTGTCTGAAAGTGAGTTTTCATCCATGTCAGATACTATTGAAGACGTATCGTCGGCATACATTGTTAAAGACGTATTCCTAATATGTGATTCCAAATCATTTGTATATAAAAGGAACACTGTCTAATATGATATAAAATGATTTGAAATCCCTGAAAGAATCAATTAAAAATCATCAAAAATGATCTTCAACGGAATGGCTACTCCAAAGTGATGGTAGAAAAGATTTTGGCTAAAAGACAGCAAGAACCTCGCAAAGAAGAGAAGCCGTCACAACCAGTACTTGCACTTCCCTGCATAAAAGGATTGTCGGAAAGGATAAGAAGAATTGGGTCCAAGTACAACATCAGATCCTGCTTCATATCCGGAAACACTATCCGTAGCAGCCTCACAAAAACCAGGCTACCAAACGCGGACTGCGATTCCAAGAATTGCATTTACCGGATACCCTGCGAGTGCGGAAAATCCAATATCGGTAAAACTAAGAGGCTATTTCCGCATTGCCGAGCGAAGAGAAACCAGCAAATCGGGTATAGCAGAGCATGTTTGGACTCATCAGCATAACATCAAATGGTTCCAAGCTAAGATCATCCACAGGGAGGAACACTGGTTTAAGAGGAAATTCAAAGAAGCCGCATATATGATGTACAACAACGCATTCAGCTAGCATTGAGATACGCAACATATAAAAACCCAAAATCAAGCGGAAAACGGCCAACTCTCGGCAAACGGTCAGCTCCCGCTAAAACCTGTGAAGCAAAGAGAGGAAAGAGGGGATAGGTTAAAGCATTCAAATAATCTATAAATAGTCATATCTTGGAGGAATAAATCCAGTCATCACCCGAAGACGACTGTGAAATCCTTTAATTTTTATTTCTTTTTAATTGTTCAATTTTCAATTGTTGCTTGTATTTTATTTTATTGTAATTTCAGTTCAGGGTTTTTTTGCTAAATATAATTTTTATTTTCAGCTATCCTGTTAAATATTAGACAATGGAAGTCCGAAATAATGAAATTCACCATGAAACATGTGAAACACGCGTCGAAAAAAGTATTAAAGTTCTGGTGATTGGGAAAAGTGCTTGATTTTGAAATTATTCTCCTCATTAAAACAATTGAATCCATTTCCATCATCAAGTAGAATTTATTAAGGAAATGAACGAAAGAATCAGACTAATGTTTTCCAAGACTTTCTTGAAAAGGCTGCGATTCCCAATCTTCACTATATTCACTACTGGAGCGAATATCACTTTCTGCATGGCCGACTATAACAGCAGCGTGTACTGTTTTCAAAATCAGGTAAGTCCAAAAACAGTGGAGCACCATTAAGAATGTTAGGAGGATTTGTAAGTATTTAAAACACGGGAACATTGGAATAATTTCAGGAGCATCTATCCATGCGCTGGAAAAAAACAATCCGTCAGTAATGATACGGATGCCAAATTAGGACACAGGAATTGTAAATCTGAAACCTTAAAAATTGGGTAAAGGTTTCTTTCATGTCGTTTTGTGTTG